TTAGCCAGGGGGTAGGAGTGGTGTCCCTGCCCAAAGTTTGTGCAAGGCTGGAGAGGGATGGCACGAGACAAATGGCTTGGTCACTGTCTTCAGTCCATCCCCTCCAGGGTCCCTAGGGTTGGCCGCTGTCGGCAGACAGGCTACTGGGCTAGATGGACCTTTGGTCTGACCCAGGACGGCCATTGTAAGCTCAGGGCTCAGGGTCGGGGGTCTCAGTGGACCCCCTTGATTTTCATGCACACCTGCTCCTGGGTGGCCAGGCAGGCAGCTCTCCTGCCCTAGATGGCCACCTTCCTGTGCCTAGTGCGGAGATCGTGGACAAGATCTACTCACCACAATTATTATTGCTTTAAAAATTCTTTAGCAAGAAAAAATACCTCTCTAGATAGACACTTACACAAGAAATTATGTTTCTTGGATAGTCCCAAGACAAATTCTTCTTGACAAATCCCCAAATAGGTGGATCTCTCTGTGAGCTTTTAAAGTGAGACTTTTATACACTGTAAGACCCACACAGCCCAGAGATCTACTATAACCCCCGTTACACCAACTCAATTATGCAAAATAATACCCCATATAAAGCAAGATTCAGTTGCTTTCTCAGGGTGCATCTACACAGCAAGGCTTAACCCCAAATAACCTATGCAAATTGAGCTACATACATTTTCAACGTGAAATTTTTTTATTTGAAAACTTGTTCAGCTTCAATAAAATAGTCAAAAAAACCTTTAAATGAGTCCAAATAGAAACCAAATGGTTGGTTTGGTTTCATTTTGACAAAATTGGATCAAAAGTTAGAACTAAACGCTCCGCTAGTTCGAATTAAATTCGAACTAGCGGAGGCTACAGGGTTTTGTCGAAAAAAAGTGACCTTTTTTCAAAAAAACTTCACCTGCATCTAGACGGCCGCTGCATTCTTTTGAAATTAAATTGAAAGAACGTGGCAGTTTTTTGACCGACAGAATTATGTCTCAAGCATCACTTTGTTCAAATGAGGCCAGATTTTTCATTCACTCATCAGCCACATTCAGCACTAGGTTTTCTGAAAAGCTGAGTTCCCATTTAGATACTGATATATGGCAAAGTATTCACAAGTCCCAAGCACACAGCGGGTTCTATTCTGACACTTCTGGCCACTTTTTCAAAAGGCCTCTGCAATTAACATGATGATCACTTCTAAAAATCGGGCTTTGGTTGTATGTGTTGCGCTCTTTTGAGAATTCTGACCTTTACAAATTATATGGGTGTTAAAAAATGAAGCAATAACAAGAGACAGTGAATGGATAAATTAATTCTTATAGATTCTGCCTGATTATTTGTGGATTGGCAAATGTTGAGATGGCAGATAAGGTAGGAGCCAAGAAAAAGATGTTACTGCGGATTTCCAGGGATAATATTTCTGGTTGCAGAAGAGGCGGTAGAGGAAGAGACAACAATGATATCTTGAGCCCGGAGGTAGAGAGTTCTTATAGCTCTCATGAAGTATCAGTAAAGCATCACGAGGCAGCAGCAATGGAAGACATATTGTAAGTAAGAGCTTGTGTGGGGAGCTTCTGGCAAGGAATAAATTAAACTGTTCCCAAGGCTATGACTATTCTGTGATTAAATGTTTGTTTCCTTTTTTAAAGTCATAACTCCTAACAAAATAGAATATCCCTTTAAACTCACCACAATTATTATTGCTTTAAAAATTCTTTAGCAAGAAAAAATACCTCTCTAGATAGACACTTACACAAGAAATTATGTTTCTTGGATAGTCCCAAGACAAATTCTTCTTGACAAATCCCCAAATAGGTGGATCTCTCTGTGAGCTTTTAAAGTGAGACTTTTATACACTGTAAGACCCACACAGCCCAGAGATCTACTATAACCCCCGTTACACCAACTCAATTATGCAAAATAATACCCCATATAAAGCAAGATTCAGTTGCTTTCTCAGGGTGCATCTACACAGCAAGGCTTAACCCCAAATAACCTATGCAAATTGAGCTACATCAATTGCTTATTTCGAAATTGGGAGAATCTGCACAGCATTTATTTCAAAATAGAGCACTCTTCCTCTTAGGATGTGTCTAAACTACAGGGTTTTTTCGAAAAAAAGTGGCCTTTTTTCAAAAAAACTTCACCTGCATCTAGACGGCCGCTGCATTCTTTTGAAATTAAATTGAAAGAACGTGGCAGTTTTTTGACCATGGAAAACCTCATTTTACAAGGAATAACGCCTTTTTTTGAAAGTACACTTTCAAAAAAAGGCGTTATTGAACACTAACAGGGTTTTTTTCGGAAGAGAGCATACAGACTGCCTGGGTGCTCTTTTTTGAAAAAGCTTTTTGCTTTTTCTAAAGAAGTGGTTGCAGTCTAGACACTCTATTTCGAAAGAGGCTTTTTCGAAAGATTCGTTCGAAAAAGTCTCCTTCAAAAGAGGCTTGTAGTCAAGATGTACCCTTACTTCCCTTACTCCTCGTACAATGAGGGTTACAGGAGTCAGAGTAAAAAGTCGTTCAGCTTGACAGTATTCTGCTGACTATGTGTGTGTGTATTCTGTGGACCGCCATTCAATTTGCTATGTCTACACTACAAAGTTATTTCAAAATAAATTATTTTGAAATATTAATTCCCAAAATAACTCTTTCAAAATAATGCATCCACACTACAAATCCCCATCATAATAGCACAGAGTTATATCAGATTAGCACATCGACACTCATTGGAGCCTTACTAGCATTTAAGGCACCCTGAAAGTGTAACCACCCCCAGGCAGATTTGAGCCTGAGATTTATGGGGTTTAGTGTAGGAACTTCTACAGCTTCAGCTAGAAAGTCAGCTGCCTCTCAGCTTAGACTGTAGAGCTCCCTCATTCTTATCTTTCACTGTAAGAAATCTAAGTGCTACTACATGGGAGAGTTAACCCATGTGGACATGTGGGTTACAGAAGCACTCCAGGGAGGGCATCAGGACAGAAGTCATTTCCTGTAGCTGCTGCCTGAAGCTATCTAAAACGTGCCACAGAGAGGGACTCCTCTCTACAGCCATGTGTGTCTAGACTACAAATTCTTTAGCAAGAAAAAATACCTCTCTAGATAGACACTTACACAAGAAATTATGTTTCTTGGATAGTCCCAAGACAAATTCTTCTTGACAAATCCCCAAATAGGTGGATCTCTCTGTGAGCTTTTAAAGTGAGACTTTTATACACTGTAAGACCCACACAGCCCAGAGATCTACTATAACCCCCGTTACACCAACTCAATTATGCAAAATAATACCCCATATAAAGCAAGATTCAGTTGCTTTCTCAGGGTGCATCTACACAGCAAGGCTTAACCCCAAATAACCTATGCAAATTGAGCTACATCAATTGCTTATTTCGAAATTGGGAGAATCTGCACAGCATTTATTTCAAAATAGAGCACTCTTCCTCTTAGGATGTGTCTAAACTACAGGGTTTTTTCGAAAAAAAGTGGCCTTTTTTCAAAAAAACTTCACCTGCATCTAGACGGCCGCTGCATTCTTTTGAAATTAAATTGAAAGAACGTGGCAGTTTTTTGACCATGGAAAACCTCATTTTAC